GCTAGTAAAATCTGAATTTAGGGTTCCGAGTCAACAAGGAACCATGGTGTGGTATGGATGCACAATATCTGTTCGTCCGTCCATAGCTTAGCCCAGAGCCGCATCAAGGTATAATTTCGAGACGGTCGGCAGACTTCAACCGCAGGATCACTGCGGTGTTTGTTTTGTCATGTCGGCATATCGCGACTGCACACTGCATTGAACCATGCCTCAGTCACTCCAGTCTGCGTTGCGGTGGCTATGTGCCGCGGCAGCTGACCGCAATGTCGCCGCGTTCGGAATTAATTGAAACGAGTAAGTGTGTCGCTCCAGTTTGCGGTCTGCAGCTTGTCCCAGAATTGCGCCTTTAAAGTTGTCTGGCACTTGACAGTACCAGGCTGTACAGCAGCTACTTACCTGCGCTCAGAAGCACAACCGAAATACTACGGAACTCTACTGCCTGTATTAATAAATCGCTTTCAACTCTGAGAACGATCTCGAGGACTACGTTGAGATGCTGTTTTGCATAAAAATAAATTGGTCACGTAGTACGGGTGTGTTTCCTAACCTCATTCTTTGGTAGGTACGGAATCCACTTGGCCGGATTTTTTCTTAAGATAACGAATCTCGCTGTAAATAATATGCTATCGCAAAAGCAAAGCAAAATATCGGCTTCGTAATACGATAAATAAAAATATCTATAAATTTTTACACGTGTATTATAAGGTGATTCATAATCAAATATAACTCGTGTTAATAAACCGTAACCAATAAAAGTATCTAACTTGTAGATCACCGTCTCCTATAGAGAAACACGGAAGGGAGTAGCCAAAGCGACATCATAATATTATTAAAATCATCCTGGGATTTTTGGCGCGGTGAATATGCACACACATGCAGTTTAACGTACACATGCGTAAAAAACTAAACTTTAGTTACGACGCAATACACCGCCAATTCCTGCACATATATATCGTTTGTATGCCCAATTTGTAAATGCGACAAAGGGGAAAGCGATCGATCTGGCAGGGTTCTCTAGGCCTAGACTTGGGATTGGAGAGACTGTTGTTTGATTTGGTTTTGGGTTTGGTGAATCATGCCAGAATCGACACCATTACATTACGTTGAATGTGAATGCGGGTGCGTTCGGAACGCTGCGCTGCGTTCCGAGCCTGCGTTCTGGGTGCAACAAAACTTAGGGTACGGCCACAGTGCACGCAGTTTCTGAATCAGATTCAGACTCAGAAAACAAGCGCGAGAAATAAACAGTGTAGTTTAAGCAGGGTGGCCATAGTGGCAGCAGGCAACCTGCTTAAACTACACTTATTTTAGTATCCTTATATTTGACAAAAGGCAAGGCACGCATTGTACTCAGAGCGTGGGTTTGGTGTGCATCTCAGTGTTATTATAGGTAGTATTTTTGTTTTGTATTTTATATACGTGAATGTATTTATTAATATGTATGTATGCGTATGTGTCGATGTAGGTGTCTATGTGTATGATCAATATGCCTTAATAAGCATATAACGTATTATTTTGTTTGCTTGTTAACGCCTAACACGTCCTCGCACACGCCCACTGCCGGATTTAGGGGAGGGCAACCGGGGCGAAAGCCCCGGTGCCTCCACAAACGGGGGGCCCCCACAATAGATACTTCGGAAAAAAAATCTTTCAAATTCCAACTAGTAAACATTTTTCCTTTCATATTTTTTTTTGCTCTTTTACCTTTACCTACAGCCTACTTTGTACATCTAACATACATGATTATTTGCTTAGAAAAAAAATTGTTTACTTTTTTTGGAAAATAATTTGGGGTGAGGGGGCCTCCGCTCCTGTTGCCCCGAGGCCTCTGGACCTCAAAATCCGGCCCTGCACAGGCCCTGCCAGAATACCGACATATATACATAATAATCAGCATTTTTGTTGTAAGGTTAAGTTTCTCTTTTATTTTCTGTATTTATTCATTATATTGTTTTTTTCATTTTATTTGTTTTTAATTTCAAAGACGTTTATGCCTATTCTCCTCCTGGCCGCGTCGGCCGTGCTGCTCTATACCTCCCGAACCAATTAATGGTATAAATAAAAAAAGTATTTGAACCTATTGTTTCGCTGTTGTAAGAACGAAAATAATAAATTTACGTACTTAATCCATCCATGTAATCATAATTAAGCGTATGAAAAGTACCAATAACATGACCTCTATACAAATATAATGAATAATCACGGTACGTTTAAGTATCAGCAGCTGGTTACTTGAGTTAAGTAAATCTGTATATTTTTTGAAATATGTCTTTTTAATTTTGTAGTCTAGTTACCCACCCTCAATGAAGTTGAGAAAAGTGTGTTGGCTATAATATTTATTAGGCCATAAATATCAAACATTATTTGTACTTATGGTGGTAAGAATATTTTTAATGGTTTCATAATAATCATTATATTTTAAACTACTTATTACATTAAATGATTACATTCTGATGTTATAGTTCTCTTCAACATTGTTTAGATACAGTTATTTTATTTTTTCAGAACATGTAATTTTGTTCTTATGTACCACTGTAAAGAGGGGAGAGTACTGGTCTTCTGAGATACAGGCTGCGGCCTAGTTTAGATACTAGTCTCTCCACAATCTTGTCATTAAGACATTAATTAATTCATTAAGTTTGTAGTTTTAGTGCATGGGATTGTGAGGAGAAGAAATAAAGCATTATTATTATAATTTTCAGATTAGATTGTGATTATTTCGCCGTCGTGATTTAGATTTTAACCGTTCTCAAGAGAAGTGATTATGAATTTGATCAAAACGAATATATAATTCAATCTACTATTAACTTAACATTTATCCACGCATCAAAATCAGTTTCTTATTCGAATTGTCAAATATCCTATACCTATTTTGCACACACACACACACACGCACACGCAAGCACACACGCTGGATAAAAATGAAACACTATCCATATATTTTGCCAATAACTTGTTAATTCTATTTAGCTTTAAAATACTAAACATTGCCTTATACGCTTCTGAAATTACCAAGTAAATGTATCATTTTTTGGAAGATACTGGCGCCTAATACACAGGTAAATCCTATATTTTTAGAAGCCAGGGTCCCTTATGATTTGTATTCTGACATTTATCCAATAAAGATATTTTTTTATTTTTATTATTATTACTATTCAATCTAAGTTGCAAAAACAAGGTATACTAATTGACGAATTAAGACCTTCCTGCTTTTTCACGTCGATGTTTTTTTTAATAAGTGGGTGGGTTCATTACTACAGCATCTTCTATCTTAATGTGTCCGCCGATGGGGAAAGGGCATTTCAAAATGGAGAGGATTTGTTCCATGTTCAGACCACGCTAGCCCTATTCAAAGGACTAACGATTTGGACGTGACCAAAAACCATGACCGATTGTTGAATTTTTTTTTGCTGCCCGTTCCAGCCTATTCGAGTATAAAGTGCTCAGGTATGGTGGGAGTACTTCACAAGGTGCAAGGGTGGCCCCTTGTGTTATTCTGCCGTGCTCCAGGAAATTCCAAAATTTCCCGCTACTATAAGTAACGACTAGATTTATGATTCAATGTGCCAAACGGCTGAATGTTCCAAACGACTCAATGTGCCAAACGGCTGAATGTGTCAAACGACTCAATGTGCCACACGACCAAATGTGCCAAACAACTCAATGTGACAAAGGGCTCAAATGTGCCAAACGGCTCAATGTGACAATCGGCACAATGTGACATACGGCACAATGTGCCGTGCCAAATCGCTTAATGTAACAAACAGCTCAATTTACCAAACGGCTCAATGTGCCTTATTCATGCTCAACCAAGCACTTGGAGATAAAATTTTAAAGCCAACTGAAACCTGAATGCGACCTCGCTCGAGCGCCTCGTCTTTTTTTATTATTTATAACTACAAATAATAAGAGCGATTTTTATTCTATTCAGTCGATCAATTGGTACTTGTTTTTTTCAGAAACAACTTATTTATTACCCTTGTAAAGTATTATAGCTGTTTGCGGATCGATTGAGAGAGGCGGAGAAGGCCTTGGGAAGAATTAACGCGTCTACGGTGAACGTCTTTATGTCTGGATTCCACGTATATTATATTGTGTGCCCTAGCAGTGGATATTATAAAAGGCTGAAGATGGTGATTATTCTTTGATTTAGTATTTGGGTGGCAAGCATGTGGATGCTATGCGGCTACCATAGCTAAAACTAAATAAACTATCACTCGCACCGTTGCCTACCCTGACTCAATCCCCTACCCCTTGGAGCCCTGGGACCTTACTCACCGACAGAAACACAATACCACCAAAAGGTAGTGCTATTTTACTGTGTGTGTGTCTGTAAGGTGGTGGTTACTTCCCAAGACCGTCGCTACAAATCGAGCGGGAAAATCCGCTATGTCTACCCCTCTCATTCTGCTTTTAAGATGCTTTTATTCGACCCTTTCACGAGTGCCTTAGCGTAAGCTTAGCTTAGACTTTATAAAATGACTAGCTGCCGCACACGACTTCGTCCGCGTTATATTTTAGTTTTTTCTTTTTTTTCTATATTTAAATATTTTTTCTAAAATAAAAGTAGCCTTAGTTACATTTTATTACATCAGCTACCTGCCAATAAAAGTCCCGTCAAAATCGGTCCAGCCATTTCAGAGATTAGCCAGAACAGACAGACGGACAAAAATTGTAAAAAAAAAATTTTTGGTGTATGTACCGTACATATATTCATATGCATGTAGTAAAAAGCGGTTATTTCAATATTACAAACATACACTCCAATTTTATTTATATGTATAGATGTAAAGATATTGAATATAAATTTTACTCAAATTTTGGATACGGTCGTACTGCCATGATCTCTGTACACAGTTGATGATATAATATTACAATTTTAATTAATATTTCCTAACATTTGATATTCCTTATCACCTTAATCGCTCTTTACAAATTACGAAGTTGTTATAAATTTCCATATCGATCAATGATAATAGCATTCTTATAAATAGGTCGAGTACTTGACTTATAATTAGTTCAAGTGAAAATGAGGGCATTTATAGTTCTGGTTTCGGTGTTGGCCACCACTCAGGCTTTAGGTAAGTGTTCAAGTGCACTCGAGTGCAATGAATCCGGGTCACATAAAGAATCCAATAAATCTCGCAAACTAACACCCGGTTTCTGAAACGCATGTCATCGAAAAAATTACGTAACAAGTTGTTAATCTCTATTTAAATGCACTTTGGGTTTCTCAATGAGCCAAGTGACAGTTTGTCAATGATTTCTTGTTGCAAATGTCAAATCTCGAATTAATGGCCGATTGCCGTAGTTTTTGGTTTCCGGAAAGCTTTTTTGTATGTTAACTGCATGTTAACGTTTTGTTGTGTTTTAATAAGTAATTGGTGAAAATTGATCAATTAACAGACTGTCAAAAGAAATTTTACTCATATTTTGGTAAGAGGATTGTTGTAGTGGTAGTAAAAAATGTTGTCAGATTTATCTGTTGACGATATATCCCTATCTAGTGACGAGGAAGATCTGGCACCAACTCGCCAGTTCCGGAAACGAATAAATCCTATTATTCATTACAATGATGAAGAATTTAAGGATCGCTACAGGATTTCAAAATCTGTTTTCCATCAACTAATGGGAAAACTGACACACCTGGAACTTAAAACGAACAATTATTGTACACTAAAGCCTTCCTAGAATTATGGCTAACCCAACATAAAAAGAATATTTCAATTCAGTTCAGCAGTTCCTGATGTTAACGCGTTCAAACAAACAAACAAACATCTTTATATTGTAGTTTATATCAGATTTACACTATAATTATTTTACTTTTTATTGACTTTAGAAGTAAATTCCAATTCTTTAATTTTTATTTCTAAATTCTTCAATTTTTTTCCAAGTCACGTTTTTTTTCCACCGTCACTGCTTGGTAGACTTATTTTCTATTATTGCTTTGTACCTACATTGAAATATATATTATCAATATATTTACAAATTTTAAATGCCAAAAGCAGATCGGTTTCTTTGTATAGATTAGAAAGCTTGATTTGAACAACTGATTTGTACCTATTAAGTACTTACTTATTCACTATTGTTAAAAGCTCCCTCTTTTCTCGCTCCGTATAGTTTTTTCGTGACATATTATGTAAAAACTTTACAAATGAAAATAAATTTCAATGTTTTCGGTACACACAATCGCTTCTATTTTTCTGACTTATAAATAAAAGTCACTTATAAGTTGTCAAAAGATAGAGACAAAGCTATGCGTTAGACAGAAACAAAACATGAATGATCGAATGAAAGTGACTGGTTTTAGCTAGGGTGGCCAGACTAATAAATAAATCGTGCCTTAACAGTAGATTCGTTAATTTTTCGGTAAGTATCTTTTCAGAAACCCACAGTTGCTCAACAAATAGTTAATTATGACAGTCTGTCAACTAATTCAATATTTGACATGCGTTTCAGAAACCGGATGTAAGAATGCTACATTAATAAAATAAATTGTGTTTAATAGACAATTAAATACTCCTTAAATGAAATTAATAAAATTTATGAGTTGCCACATTTTATTTACAAAAAAATGCATAAAGAAAAGAACTGAAGAAGAGAACATAAAGAGAAGAAGCTGATCTCGCCTTAAAACAAAAATAGAGAACATGTCATTTTTAAATAAATAAAATAAATAAATAAATATTTCCAACACTCACACCAATTAGCCTAGCCCCAAAGTAAGCACTATAAGGCTTGTGTTATGGGATACTAGGGTAACGGATAGAATACATAAACTGTACATATATAAGTATATATTTTTTTTTTATAGAAATACATATTAAACATCCATGACTGGAGTACAAATGCTCGTATTCATCACACAAATATCTGCCCCCACCGGGATTTGAACCCGGGACCTCTCGAGTCGGCGACACCATGCAACCCGGCGTGCAAACCACTCGACCACGGAGGTCGTCGAATTTTTGGAACATCATTACGATTTTCTTGAATTTTAACACTTCGTATTGCCTCCTCGTTCTTCCATTACTGCGTTTATCCGGTTTGGCATGCTGTACTCCAAGTTTCTTATACGATTTTGGGGAATATTCTCCCATTCCTCTGTAACAGCAATTTTGAGCTCACGAAGCGTAATTGGGTGGGGCTTTCGTTGTTTTACGCATCTCCCTAGCTCGTCCCAAGCATGTTGTTGATATACGGGCTGCGTGCTGGCCACTCCATGCGAGTAACGTTCATCTCTTGAAGGTAGTCATTCACAATCCAACAATTAAATATTCTGGGAATATTTGAAGCGTCTTCCTGTTTCCGTTATTAATATAGAGCAAAAACAGCAAACAATTCACGTTTGTTGTATGGGAGCCCCTCTGTAATAATTATTGAATTTTTAGTGTTATTGTTGTATAGCAGCGGCAACAGAAGTTTATTATCGGTGACAATTTCAACTGTCTAGCTATCATGTTCATGAGATACAGCCTGGTGACAGACAGATTGACTTTAGAGACTTATTATAATAGGGTCCCGTTTTACTCTAAAATAGTGACAACAGTTATAAACAGTATCGTTTACAAAATATCCCAAAACAGCGCTTGTAAATAACATACCTATTCTGGAATTATTATCCGTTTAAAATTCAAACAATTCAATATCGTTTATTCAGTCTAGGCTGTTACAAGCACTTGTGAATGTCCAAAAGCTACGCCATCGGTTCGCAAATCTACGGCGGGAGATCTTGTACTGAGAAGAACCGGCAAGAAACTCAGGAAGGGCTGTTGTTTTTCTCCCTGTATTATATACAGAGTCGTCAAATTGAAAAATGACTTCAATATGAGGTTACTCATAAAGTCACTTTCCATTACAAATGTAAGTAATATAGAAATTATGACTATATAATAAAAAAAATATAAAAAACTGGTTTAACAAAGTTAAGGAATGCCGTGTCCTACTGTTTAGGCAAAAAAAATGAACGATTAAAGTTTAGTACAACGATTAATAGTACCCAATGAAGCAAGAGCAGACTCATCTCCACTAGCAGCACCCGTTCACGAGCATGACGCATGAACCAGCCATCGCTTCGCTCAACCATTTTTTAGGGAACGCAACAACCCGTCTCATACGACACCTTACGTTAAAGTTCGCAGATATAAAAAGTATTTTTATTTGAAACAAAACGAGTTCCAATTGTTAAGGTTTTATAATTGCACAATCATACAATAACCTACTTAAATCGTTGTCTGAATAAGCTAGTAAAATTTCTCAGGTAGCTCAAAATTCACGCTGTATTTATCCCAGTTTTAATAGGCAAGAGTGGTAAATAAAAATTTTGTTTTTACTTGGGGAGGCTGTATGAACCAAATGTCTATGAAGAAAAAAAGTTTCACTTTCGAATTATGGAAGCTCCCGCTTCCCCTACATTACAAGGCTACAAAAGTAACTTTAATTTTAGATTTTAAAGTACATGTTTCCTATCCCTGTAAAACGGAAATGACTTTTCAATCTACGAAAAAAACCCGGCCGAGTGCGAGTCGGACTAGCGCACCGTGGGTACCATACAAACCTGTAGGCATATTTTAATAATTATTAAAAAAAATTTTTTATTATATGATGTAACTAAAAATTACGGTTTTCACAATTTTTCCTTTATCTGTACTATAAAACGTTACTTCGTACCAAATTTCAAGATTCTAAGTTCACGCGGAGTACCCTGTTAGGTTTTAATTCCCGTGCTAGTTTTTGCGGCATAAACGGCTGCATCTTTTGATTGCTTTGGCTTAGAAGTTTGATTTTTTCACAGCTCTAAGGGACAGTAGATCTGAGTATTTATTTATGAATTTTAGTTTGATACCTCTGCGCGTTCCTGAGAGAAACGGTCTTGACAGACGGACGGACGGACAACAAAGTGATCCTATAAGGGTTCCATTTTTTCCTTTTGAGGAACACTAAAAAACGGTGAAGGTTCTCAAATCGACGCGTATATTTTTTTAATGTATGATCACGCACATCTTTGTACAGACTAGTCCGATTTTGATAATTCTAAGAAGTTGGTCTCTTAAAAATTTGGAAAAAATCCAACTCTAACACCCGGTTTCTGAAAAGCATGTCATCGAAAAAATTACGTAACAAGTTGTTAATCTCTATTTAAATGCACTTTGGGTTACTCAATGAGCCAAGTGACAGTTTGCCAATGATTTCTTGTTGCAAATGTCAAATCTCGAATTAATGGCCGATTGCCGTAGTTTTTGGTTTCCGGAAAGCTTTTTTGTATGTTAACTGCATTGTTACGTTTTGTTGTGTTTTAATAAGTAATTGGTGAAAATTGATCAATTAACAGACTGTCAAAAGAAATTTTACTCATATTTTGGTAAGAGGATTGTTGTAGTGGTAGTAAAAAATGTTGTCAGATTTATCTGTTGACGATATATCCCTATCTAGTGACGAGGAAGATCTGGCACCAACTCGCCAGTTCCGGAAACGAATAAATCCTATTATTCATTACAATGATGAAGAATTTAAGGATCGCTACAGGATTTCAAAATCTGTTTTCCATCAACTAATGGGAAAACTGACACACCTGGAACTTAAAACGAACAATTATTGTACACTAAAGCCTTCCTAGAATTATGGCTAACCCAACATAAAAAGAATATTTCAATTCAGTTCAGCAGTTCCTGATGTTAACGCGTTCAAACAAACAAACAAACATCTTTATATTGTAGTTTATATCAGATTTACACTATAATTATTTTACTTTTTATTGACTTTAGAAGTAAATTCCAATTCTTTAATTTTTATTTCTAAATTCTTCAATTTTTTTCCAAGTCACGTTTTTTTTCCACCGTCACTGCTTGGTAGACTTATTTTCTATTATTGCTTTGTACCTACATTGAAATATATATTATCAATATATTTACAAATTTTAAATGCCAAAAGCAGATCGGTTTCTTTGTATAGATTAGAAAGCTTGATTTGAACAACTGATTTGTACCTATTAGGTACTTACTTATTCACTATTGTTAAAAGCTCCCTCTTTTCTCGCTCCGTATAGTTTTTTCGTGACATATTATGTAAAAACTTTACAAATGAAAATAAATTTCAATGTTTTTGGTACACACAATCGCTTCTATTTTTCTGACTTATAAATAAAAGTCACTTATAAGTTGTCAAAAGATAGAGACAAAGCTATGCGTTAGACAGAAACAAAACATGAATGATCGAATGAAAGTGACTGGTTTTAGCTAGGGTGGCCAGACTAATAAATAAATCGTGCCTTAACAGTAGATTCGTTAATTTTTCGGTAAGTATCTTTTCAGAAACCCACAGTTGCTCAACAAATAGTTAATTATGACAGTCTGTCAACTAATTCAATATTTGACATGCGTTTCAGAAACCGGATGTAAGGGTAGGAAAAAAGAGGATAATTGATTGTTGTCTCACTGATTGTAATATATGACCACACAACTTTTTACAGAGTATTCCGATTTTAATGACTCTCTTTTTATTGGATAGGGTATAGAGTATAGGTTTAAGTAAATAAATTTAGAAATAAACATCCTACCCTAAGGGTGGGAAAATAGGGGAAATTTTTCACTCACAGATTTTGATGTTGAGTTGTATATTACAAAAATGAAAGCCACCTAAAATTATAAAATCAAAACTTTCTAAACCGCCGAAAAATGAAAAGTAAAAAAATAACCTTTTTTATTTTAGTCAAATTTATATTTGGAGTCGGTACCACACCTGTCTGATAGATCTGTACCCTTAGCACGAAACATAATCGAATGCGAATAGTTTGCGAGTGTGAAATGTCAATGTCAAATTTTGTATGAAAACTTAAAAAGAAGCGCCACAACGGACGTACCGAGAACTGAAAATCAGTACACATTTGACAATGACATTTCGCATTCGCAAACTATTCGAATTTGATATTGGTTCGTGCTAAGGGTACTGAGTTCTCATTTACTACTTGGGTTGGTATGGCACCGACTACAATATAAATTTGACTAAAGATAAAAAAAAACTATTTTTTGACATTTTAGTTTTTTTGGCGGTAAAATTGTTTTGAAAAAACGTTTTTATTTCGTGTAATGTTCATTTTCAATTTTGATGAAAACGTTTTCCTTTTCAGGTGATTGGAAGGAGGGCCTTAGTGGTAAGTGGTATAACTTAGTGTTTTTAATGTGAAACATCTGAATATGAATATGACAAATTACAGCGTAGGCTTCACCAAACTACGCCGTAGGTAGGTCATTCCAAACTAGGGCGTAGGCTATTCAAAATTACGCCGTAGACCACGTTAAGCTACGGCGTAGGTTATCTTTGCCAAACTACGCCGTAAACTATCCCAAAGCAATAAACTCCCCAAAGGCTATTTTGCTCTCCATGTCTTATTTGCCATCTTCAGAGACATCAACTAGAACAAACCAAATTATTAAAATTATTTTGCTAGATCTTATTTAGGTCATTACCTATATTTTTTGAAGTGAAAACTTCTTTAGCGGCGTTGTACACTTTTTTGTAATGGGTAAAAACTGTTAAACTCGCGTCAGGACGTCATGTGACCTAATCGAAAATTCGTAAGACGAAAACAATAAATTGGAAAGGCTGTTGACTTTCAATATATTGGACGAAAAATAGTAATATTTTATCGTATTATAATAATAAGTCTCTAATTAGGACGTCCAGGTGGCAGCTTTATTGCGAAAAAAAAGCATTTTTTTTACAATAGATGTCGCTAGGTGCGCTTAAATGTGATTCATGTAAGTTGATTTTTCTGAGAGATAAACTTTTTAATGTAATATAAATTGTCATGTTTGTGTACGATAGAGCAATAAATAAATATTGTAGTGAACCACATAAATGATAGTACTTTTATACTGATAATTAAAGCAACTCGTGCAAAATTATTCCCTAACCATTCCAAAATATGAAAAATGCACAACGTTAATATTCAAGTTTTCACTTCTGCCGGCATTCCGGGAGTGCAACCCGTCGTTTTGTTTTAATAATTAAACGTTTATCAATATTGATATTTTCAGCACTAATTTTTACACATATACTGAATAGTAAAGACTATGTTACTACTACAATATGTTATTCAAGTTTAGTTAAACCTTATATCTTTTCCATAGTAAGGTTCGGTTTGAACCCACTGGGCTTCGGGAGCAGTTACTTTATAAACGTACCACGCACTGTGGCCCAAGCGAAGAACTCGCGATGGGTGCTGACCCCCAGACCCGCGGGGCCGATGCCCAGTCTCGTGCTGTATTGTCCTTCTCAGAACGACCGCTCTCTCTGCGCCCTCTTCGACAATCAGAACAATGTGGCAGGCCTCCAAATTGCCGTGAGTATTATCTTCTTCTTTTTTATGTTAAAAGGTTGGCAAAGCAGATGCGATCGCCTGATGGCAAGCGGCCACCATAGAGACGCTTGCGATACAAAATTTATCACTCGCGCCATTGCCTACCTTGACGCCATCCCTTACCCCGTGGAGCCCTGGAACCTTACTCACTGACAGAAATACAACACCACCAAAAGGTAGTTATTTATTATTAGTTATTTTACTGTTGTTTTCTCTAAGGTGGAGGTTAATTCCTCAGACGGCGCTCAAATTCGACGGAAAGGCCACTATGCCCTTTTTACACAGGCAACACCTCTATATACAGACTTTAGTGCCCTTAAGGGCCACACTGACGAACGCAAGTATCACGGTTGCGAAACGGAGAAGTCGTTAAGCAGTCCGTGCGGCTTACCAGCGCTCACGGTATACTATCCGCTAAAAACCGTGCGTATGTTGCGTACCGTGCGTACGCTGTTAAGTGCGGAACCCCGAGATCGCCGTTCCTCTCTCTATCTTCTATATATTCCACAGAGAATGTATTTACTCTGCATCTGTAGTCGTTAACACCCATCAATCCGCACTAGGGCCGCGTGGTGGGTCATGGCCCAATCTCCCTATTCCGTCCATAGTGGAGGAATGCACCTCAGTGGGAAGGTAAATAAGATAATAATGTTCATGTTCCTACAATATTGATACTTTAAAGCTTATATTTCACAAACAAATCCTTAATCGTAAAAATATTCTCACAAACCGTCAATATTTCACACAAGACAAAAAAATACATTTCTTTATTCATTCGTTTTTTTTTAATTATATGTATCCTTTTGAAATTTAGCTGCCCATTGCTGACTTCCAAGATGCTGTCATGGACTGGAAGACGCAAGGTTTCACACAATGGACCCCGCCTGCCAATTCCAATGGAATCGTCAAGAGCTACTGGACTATTCAACAGTACTTCGTCAGTGAAGGTAAATTACATTTTCAGCTGTACCTCTACCAGAAATAATATTTATTGTGCATGAAAAGGTCTAAAAAGTCTCTTCTGCTTCTTATCTATTAGATAGAACATGGTTAGGGCAGTCTAGTATAGTCTCTCTACAAGAAAGGAGGAAGGTTATTTGCTCAAGGTCGAATATATGTAGAAACAAAGATTAAATTAGCAAATGAAAACCTTTGATTATTGTTTTAAACTTTCATGGTCACTAACATTATAGCTATTAACGGGATTGTTACAATGTACCTTGTTACTCCGTGATCATGGCGCTTGCAACAGTGCCGAAATATCGGAGACTCATAAAAGACAAGGTAACAATCCCGTTAATAGCTATAACCTTTGATTATTTACTCTTTAGATAGATCTTCACCTAGTAAACTCTGTGATAAAAACAGACCAGGTTCTATGTACTTATGTGCTTGCAATCTTGCATCTTACACTCGCGAAATGTCATTATTTTGGTATCGGTGCGCATGCGTAAGATACCAGGTTAGGCCAAATTCCCCAAAAAAGTGGGTAAACTCAATCAAAGCAAAATCAGTATATTGTTCACACAATAAAAAATCATAGACATTGAAACATCTGTAAAACGTATAAAATACTTGGCTATTTGAAATAAAAGATATTTGTTACAAATTTTTATTTAAGTAACAAAAATAATAGCCATGATATATAGAAACAAACAACAAAATGGACCTTATTTCTTATTATGATGATTAAGGTCTTGAATTTAGTATTTTAATATTATTTATCTTTAAAATACGACATATTACTCAATACATACCTCTGTGACGCAAAACTTGTTTTACAATTATTTTATTTAAATGATCTTAGCATATAGTAGAATCCCATAACACAAGCCTTACAGTGCTTACTTTGGGGCTAGGCTAATTGGTGTGATTGTTGGAAATATTTATATAACCGTAGTTTTTGCTGGTTGCCAGAAATTTTCTCCACGACTTCTTCTTATAACCCAACGTCCAACCACCGACATTTCATTATGGGATCGTTAGGTAGGTATTCTGGAAAAAGTGGACTTATAAAAGAAAAAAACTAGCAACCTCCAACGGTTTAAACCTTCCTTTGTTATATCTCGGCAGGTAGACAAAAATAAATTCATAATGTATTTTGAAATTATGTAGCAGTGGAAAACTGCAACAAAATCCGTTATGTTTCCTTGAATTTATATTTTCCAATTTCAGGGGTGAAGACGCGTTTTGTTTTCTTTTTTTTTTATTACTTTAGTTCTAACAATCTTCTAAATATATAAAACTAGCAAACCAGTGAACCAAATGTTCACCAAAACCTGATTTCTCGAAAACCGGAAGTGCTACGTTACTCAAATCCGGTTTGTAGTCTTAACTGGCAGAAAATCAGACTATTCTTAACTTATAACTTAAATATTCTCTTTATCTATCTCTTACGGTTTGGCCGCTGAAACAGCACCACAGACGGACGGACGGACGGACTTGTCTAATAGATAAGAGATAAGAAAGTATCAAAACTTTTCTCCAACGTACTGCTGCAATCGGTAAAATTTTTGATTACGCAATACTTACTTTTTTGGGGATATTTGTAAAGAGACACTGACATCACTTTGAAAATGTCAAGATGAAGTCGTAATGTGAATATTGAGTTACTTAGCGATGGTAAGTGATTTTTTTGGTCCTTTATAATTACGGCAAACTTTAATCGCGCATCTCGGTATTTCAGAGCAATAATTTCAACATGAAACTCTGAAATTGTCGTGCGTATCACTCAGCGTTACATTGAACACTAAGTGACGGGAAACGACTTAGAGTCAAGCAGTTGGCTCATATTTTTTTCAACGTCATCTGCGCTGCCAAGCTCTATCTAGGAGTTAAAAATCAAAGATAAAAATGAAGATTTAATTATATTTTTTAATTTCAATATTCCTGAGAAGTTTCTTTCAATGAAATATTTGTAGTGGTTCTTCTGGTGGCCCAAAAATTAACAGTTGCTGCAGCAAATAATACTAGATTTATAAGCCTAAGAAGATTTTTTTTCAAGGATATATCCACTGGGCCCATGTGTCAGGATAAATGGATCAAGCTAATGATAAATTCAAATTCTAAATCATATCTTCAGTCAAGGCTATTACAAGCTCTTGCGATAACGTCTCCTCTCGATATTTAATCATCTCCCACTCTTTTAATAGTCTCTCTTGCTGACTTCTTATCATTTAAACATTTTCGTTTCTTGCCAACATCACTAGAAGACAATGTCACGAATCGTGAAGAAAACACGCGGCTTTTAAACCAGAACGCCGTTTGGGTGACCGGCTTCGACGGAAAACTTCTCAGGGTATCAGCCAACGGCGCGGATATTGACAACACAGCATCTTCTGGATTCACCAAGCAAGCTTGCGTCGTTTTGATGGGTATTTTACCACACATTATAGTAAAGGAACGAGCTATACTAATTAATTTCTTAAGTGCTTGATGGTTTGGCTACACAGATCTCAGATGGGTTTTAGTTAATGCCTGACATAACTCTGTAGCCAGCTGTAGGATTAAGTTGTAAACATTTCCCAAATACCTACCACAGTACCGGAGAATGCCGATTCTTTTATTTCGGATGCAAAACCAAAAGTACCTACATTGCCTTAAACTTATCAGTTTTCTATAGATTTTATTCACTGTATTATATCTATTCAGGCAGCTGAGTATTATATGAGCATTTCTCAACTCCCTTTCACGTTACATTCTCCTACTACAGACAGAACAAAACCCGCAACTCCGCAAAGTTCTAACACAATCACGAAATAATTTACTATAATCCTTCATCATCGTCATCATCATCAGCCTATCAATGTCTCCACTGCTGGGGCACAGGCCTTCCCTATGGATGGAATAGGGAGATTAGGCCATGACCCACCACGCGGCCTTAGTTTGGATTGGTGGGTCTTAATGACTGCAGATGCAGTAGAGACCAACGGCTTAACGTGCCTTGCGAAGCTCGAGATAGTAAGATTTGGTTACCCATCCAATAACCGACCACTGCGAAACTTTTTTCAACGATCGCAGCCGAACGCGTTAACAACTTGCGCTATAGAGTTCTTCAATAATTTTCTTCTTCATAATCCATCAGGTCGCCACTATTATTACAACATGACCGCACAAACTGAGTGCACGTCCAGGGGTATTCTACCCTGGTTCCCGCTTGTGCACTCTGGAGAGCTCATCGGCATGGGTTTCCTACTCTTCGGAAAACTTAATGAGAAGGCTTTAGTCAAGGACTACTTCGAAAAACCTGACAGATCTGCAGTACAGGTTCGTAACTTTTAACTACACTTAAATAATTTTAAACTATCCTACCTATAAATTGCTTTAGCTGGGCTTATAATACAAATACAAAAATCTTTATTATTCTTTTACATCAAAGTTTACATGTTGTGTGTCCTTTTAAGTTAAGTTATCTGTATTAGAAGAAGACCGCTCCTTCATCATTCCGGCCTGCGTCAAAAAAGAATACAACAAAAAATTTAATTTAAAATATATATAAATATATATTTTAATATATATACATTCTGTGTTCTAAGTAAGTATCGGGAATTATTCAATAATACAAAAATATACAAATTGTTTATCTAAATTTAATTTATCGCCTTGAAAGTAGGCCCCATTGAAAACATGCAATACAACATCTCCACCGTTTCACCCAGTGCTCCCATTTTACGTAGGCTACTTGCGGTATGACCTTTAGCTCATTCAAAGAATTTTCTTGTATGGCTTCTATCGACTCAAAAAGTTTTCCTCGAAGCGGTAATTTTAACTGGGGAAATAAAAAAAAGTTAGTCGGAGCCATATCAGGCAAAAACGGTGCTTGGTCGAGAACTTTTGTTGAATTTTTCTCTAATAACTCTTTCACAATAATAGCTGTGTGTGATGGTGCACTATCATGGTGCAGCATCCATGAGTTGTGTTATTACAAATTTGAACGTTTTCGGCAGATACTCTCACGCAAACGCTTCATGACGCCTAAATAATATTCTTTTTTCACTGTTTGTCCCTCTGGAAGAAATTTTGAGTGTAAAAAAACAATGTCAGCATCACCTTGATTTTGGAGCGACATTGCCGCAATTTTTTGGGTTTCGGCTCGTTTTCGGAACGCCATTCTGAAGACTGTTGTATTGTTTGTATATTGTACTCATAAAACTATGTCTCGTTGCCAGTTATTATATGTTTAGGTTAGGCAGCATTTTGTTCCTGATCTGCACGGTGAACAACTAACTATGAGTATTTATTTAGGCATGTTTTTGAAAATATAATAGAATTTCTTTAGTTGCATTTCAATGGTATACACTGGGGATTTAAATTGAAGTAGGTACGATGTGATTAGCATTTTGCTAAAATATCAATTCTTTTCCCGATACAACTCTGCCCAATTTTGTACCTCAAGTATTATCATGTATTTATTTGTTTCTACACTTACATAATATATAATTATATAAATATGCCAAATTCATCAAAAATATAAATTGAGTTTATAAACCACTTGTACCACATAAAAATGTCGTTCAAACATTTAAATTAATGCCAACAAAGATAATATAATCGGTTGGGGGAAAAGTCTTTCCGCATTATAGTATGTCTGAACTTGTAAATAAAATCTCTTTCGCTATACCATTTGTATCTGGCTGATTTTGATATAATTAAATAATTTAAATTTTTAAGAAGATAATTCTACATTCAAATTAGAAAAATGTGTGAATTTCATTTGTTTTTCTTACTGTCAAGATGAGTGAATCTAATGAAGAAAATCGAGACATTTTAAAATTTTATTACCTACAACAAAGGTAAAAATGCAACGCAAGCCGCGAAAAAAATGTGTGATGTTAATGGGCCTAGTGTAGTGTCTGCGAGAGTAGCACAAATTTGGTTTAAGCGTTTCCAATCCAGAAGTTTTGAAGTCAAAAATGTACTTCGCTCTGGTGGCCCTGTTAGGAATAAAATGGATGCCATTTTTGAAAAAATGGAGCAAGATCGGCATGTTAGTAGTTACGACGTAGCTGAAGAACTGGGAATTGATCACAACATAGTTTTGGCGCATTCGAAATTAGCTGGGTACACAAAATATTTAAGAGAGTTTGACTGGGAGTTGTTAATGCATTCGCCGTATAGTCCTGACCTTGCGCTTTCAGATTTCCACCTGTTTCGGTCTCTTCAAAATTCTTTAGGTAGTGTCATGTTAACATCACAAGAGGACTGCCAAAACCACTTGTCGTGGTTATTTGTTCTGATGCCCCAAAATGTCTATAACAATGGGATCATGCCTCTAACTACAAGATGGCAGAAAGTTATCGAACAAAATGGTACCTACATACTTCATTTAGTTAAATGTTAATAAACTTTTTTAAAAACTGTTTTGAATTTTCATATAAAATGCGAAGAAACTTTTTCCCCATCCTAATATTATGGTAAATGTGCATCTTTTAGTAAAAGTTACGGAAATCACGTGATTTTTTAATACAACCAATCACAATCAAGAATATGAATTTCAACCAATAGTGTGCGTGACCGAGGGAAGGTGGATGAACGTCCCACACATCCAGGGTAATCTACCCTGGATGTGTGGGAAGTAATCCCGAGTTTATCGCGTAAACGATGGACAAAACCGCTTATTTGCAATGACGCTGTCAAACTTTAAACAAAGTACCACGTACAATTAACTTTTCAACACTTTAACATATCAACACTTTTAGAAAACATCTCAAAAACTATCTATTAAATGAACAATCAATTATAGCGTAACTTGTAAGTAATATATACCTTGATTTCTTTTGCTGAATAAAAACGGAGAGGAGCTGCTTCACAGCATTGATGCAAATTGTCCGTAGCATGATTTGGCCTTATACTTTTTGACACTAGTATGTCCCGTTTCTGAATAACAGTACATAACTTCTGCTTATTGCTATAATGAGTAACTGCTATGTATATTTTGAATTTAAATTTTTTTTTTAGGCTGAAATGAATTGCTTCGCTTTGTTTTGCATTGCTTTGCTTGCTGATATTTTCTCTTGATTTTTTGTTACTTGAAAGCAAAGGATGTTAAGTCCATACATCCTTTCAAGTAATAAAATTTTATTTTTACATGTCTTTTTTTGTGTCACTAAACAGGCCCTGCCAGAATAACAGCGCTGGTGCGACACAATGTCGCATCAGCTAATGCTGAGGCAGGGTCCTGGTTAGCCCTGAGGTTTTTTTTTTCTTTATTTATATCTGTAATGTGTAATATCTGGGTTAATAAAATTATATTCTATTCTATTCTACAATTTGGCTGAGTAGACGGTTTCTTGGAAGACGGCGGCACCAGGTGACGAAAGGCGAAGAACTTAAGGAAACTGGTATCCACCCGCGGGCTTTTCACTACAGTGAAAAGCTACCACGAACAGCTGTAGCTGTTCGTGGTAGCCTTGTCGAATGTAGATCAACGCTGTTGACCGTGTTCTATTACTCTTTTGCTCTCGAACGAAAGCCTTCGTGTTTGACTAAACAGTCATTGCAAACGGTGCACGCGATATTTAAACTCTGTACCAAAGAGTAGTACTATTGCTCTATACCAAGGAACTTACATATTAACTGGAATGCTTACGAAACAATATGTGAATTCAAAAAATGTACTCTAACTAGTTATATATGAAGTCCATTTTTGTTTCTACCTTCCTAAGGGGGAAAATACTCTTAGCGCGACAACGGCGAAAGTTGAATCTGTCCCTCTCTTGCAATTGTTTGGGCACACTACTAGAACGAGACAGATTCCACCAATTTAACTATGCTCTTGGAACGATTTTGAGGGTAGCGTGAGCATTCCAGTTAGTTTAATAGTTCCTTGCTCTGTACTCACGCGGAAAATGGTTAGTGTACAAATAGCATTAGCTATCATCTGTCAGGCAATGACAAATTGCGTCTAAGTAATAACGTTTCTTTATACGCAGATTCCCTATTTTCATTCAGATTTTCAGCATTTTTTATTAAGTACAATTATTATAGATGACGACCTCCGTGGCCGAGTGGTTTGTACGCCGGGTTTCATGGTGTCGCCGACTCGAGAGGTCCCGGGTTCGAATCCCGGTGGGGGCAGATGTTTGTGTGATGAATATGAGCATTTGTACACCAGTCATGGATGTTTAATATGTAATTCTATATAAATATAGTTATATCTGTACAGTATATTTATTATATCCGTTACCCTAGTATCCCATAACACAAGCCTTCCAGCGCTTACTTTGGGGCTAGGCTAATTGATGTGTGTTGGCGCGTCGCTCTAGGCCGTCGTTCATAGCGACAAGGTCGTCGCTGAACCGCTGTTTACCGACAGAAACGCAAAACTACATAAAGGCTCTTATTAGGGTGGATATGTTAACCAGGCAAGCGCCCCAAACACGAAAATAAATGCCGCTCTTCAGGGCAGGGCAGGCGGAGTTGAGGCCCACAAGAGAGTGGCCCTCACAACAGGGGATGTGCAAATCGTAAGTGGCCCGGCCCAGATTTAGGGGCACTCTTTCGTTACCCCAGGGCCTCCAGACCTCTAAATCCGGCCCTGTCGCTCTTAAAAACGATAATATTTTTACAATAGTATTCTATTTTTGTCCCAGATGATAGTTCCTGATGGACCTACTTGCCTCTACGAGCTGGCAGAGAATCCAGGACTGGTCACTATGCACACCTACTATATCAACACACCTTGGCTAATCAACTGCATCAACCAATAGATATTTGTAATATATATACATATAGTTTGTAATTTACAAACGTAATGGAGTATCCAATAAACTATAAATATGGCTGTATGATAAAGCGAAAAGTTACGAAACCAGCTTAGCGTTGTGTCAATTAAAATAATCAAATAACAACTAACAACCAGAGAAATCTCAAAAAGGAAATATAGCAAAAACATTAAATTATGTGAAGAGTTTATTCACCAAAGCCAGTAATGACAATCAATCGAATTAAACGCATTTTTCTTATTTAAAACGAAGGTTTTATTTTTGATCTAAGAATAGTGTAATTTTTCTAAGTTTGTGGCCGACATGTTTGTTGATTGAATACCTGTAGGCACCTACTAAATACATACTCAAAGCTTCACAGAAATTCCTAGCAAGCTTGCAGTACGTCAAAGGGTTCGAACAGCTATAACATACATACATAGGTACATCTGTAAATTTCATATTTGCATCTCAACATTGTCACACCTTAGATAATCGTTTCTAAGGCCGTATACAGAAAGAAAGCCGAAAGCCGATCGGCGCCGATCGGCGCTTATCGGCGCCGATCGGCTTTCGGCGATTCTTCCTACATAAAGGAAGCCGATTAAAGCAGATCAAGCAAAATGTCGGACTCATCGGACGATGATTTGGTTTTGTTAGAAAATGTTTATTTAAAAATGCGAAAAACAGGTATACATCCTATAAATAGAGAAAGGAAACGTTTCGGAGAATACCATCATTTATTTGTTAAAGAATTGAAATTTGATGATCAAAGATTTTATGCATATGCAAGAATGACTAAAAAAACATTTAATTACATTTTGGATTTAGTGGAAAACCGTTTGATGAAGAATAGGTGTAATTGGCATAAACAACCAATCCTTCCAGAAGAAAGACTTGTTGTCACCATTCGGTAAGTACGAAACAAATATTTTTAGCGCTTTATTAATAGAAGATAAAGTTATTAGATTTATAAAAAGATTATAACTTAGATTGATTTAATCTAAGGATAATAATTCAAATACAAATCATTCATTATTTGAACAACATAGATCATAATAAAAAAAATCGGAATCAAGTGCTAGTCGGACTCGTGCACGAAGGGTTCCGTATCATTATCATGTCTTTTATGTCCTGTGAGGTGTATGTCAATAAACAATATTATTATCATTATCTATAAAACAAAGTTATTAGATTTATAAAAAGATTATAACTTAGATTGATTTAATCTAAGGATAATAATTCAAATACAAATCATTCATTATTTGAACAACATAGATCATAATAAAAAAAATCGGAATCAAGTGCTAGTCGGACTCGTGCATGAAGGGTTCCGTATCATTATCATGTCTTTTATGTCCTGTGAGGTGTATGTCAATAAACAATATTATTATCATCACACTAATATTATAAAGGCGAAAGTTTGTGAATGTGTGAGTGAGTATGTTTGTTACTTCTTCACGTCTAAACGGCTGGAGCGATTGTAATAAAATTTGGTATGGAGTTAGCTGACACCCTACATTAACACATAGGCTACGTTTTACTGCGGGAAAATATACCTAATAAACCGCGGGTAACACCGCGGGGCACAGCTAGTAATCTATAAAACACTAGTAGTAAACCTCGCTTCGCTTCGGTGTAGAGCTGTAGTGTAGTCTATAGTTTTTATTCTCGGGCTTGTATTATACACAATGACATTCTTCTGTTACCTAATTACAATAGGCACGCGCCGCCTGGCCCCCCGCCCAGTAGCGTCGGAACCGCTATGTCCCTGCATTTTAAATCTGTAATATCTTCGAAAATATTCATTTAAATTACATGCTTTAAAGGGGCAAATTGATCTATATTAAATGCACAATGTATTTAAGGTACTTAATTGGATAAGAATGAATGTTATATTGCTGAAAATCGCTTCGTAAATAAGCTATTACTTCTCGTAAAATGTATAGGATAAAAATGGTTATTGTGGGTTATCCCTAAGAGATAGACATATACCATCGCGGACTTTTTTGCAGACCTTTTCAAGGTGTACAATACTGTAGTACATTATTTTGATCTATCTCGTAGGGTTTAGTTGGTACTAAGGATATCAAAATGTCATTATCCATTTTTCTACTTAAAAAATAATTGCGTGTAGTAATTGACGTACCTGTTGTCGTTGTTTATTAATTTAAAATGGCAGCTGACCAGCGCGAGTCGGCGCCGATCGGCGCCGATCGGCGCTGATCGGCGCCGATCGGCTTTCGGCTTTCTTTCTGTATACGGCCTAAGATGTGTAGCTAATATGGGAGGGATATTTTCCCGCAGTAAAACGTAACCTATGCGATAATCACAAACGTTCGCCATAAAATATTATTGTTCTGAGGTAAGCAAGCATATGTCCAGCCTGATGTTGAGCTGCTATCATAACCAAAGACGCTTTTATGTCGTAGCAGACATATCGACTCGGAAAGGGATCGGACAGTATTATTTGTATAAAACTCCCTATTGCAACGAAAACCCTGCCGGGTTACGTTACGAAAGTCAAGATGAAGTAATAAATGTCCAAGTGTGTGTGTGTTTGTGGGTGTGTGCGTGTGTGTGCGTGTGCGTGTGTGTGCGTGTGCGTGTGTGTGCGTGTGCGTGTGTGTGCGTGTGCGTGTGCGTGTGCGTGTGCGTGTGCGTGTGCGTGTGCGTGTGCGTGTGCGTGTGCGTGTGCGTGTGCGTTAGCGTGTGCGTGTGCGTGTGCGTGTGCGTGTGTGTGTGTGTGTGTGTGAGTAACTTAAACTTGATCTAGATCTATGGTGCAACTAATTATGTAAGGTATTTTACTGTGGTATTCTGTAAGAGGAAGCTCGATGGCGCAAGTGGTTAGCGCGTTCGGCTGCGAGCGTTGAAGTTAAGCGACTTTCGCAGTGGTTGATCATTGGATGGGTGACCAAAAATTCACTATATCGAGCTCCTCCGTGCCTCGGAAGGCACGTTAAGCCGTTGGTCCCCGGCTGCATCTGCATTCGTTAACACCTACCAATGAGCACTGCGCCCGCGTGGTGGGTCATGGCCCAATCTCCCTATTCCATCCAAAAGGAAGGCCTGCCCCAGCGGTGGGGACATTAATAGGCTGGTGATGTGATGTGATTCTGTAACATGGAGGCTTCTTCCTTAGACCGGCGGGTGGTCCTATTCGAACGAGAAATCAGTTGTGCCCTATTTTATTTAAATCAATAATAAATTTTCTTGTTATACCGTGAAAGTTAGTAGCAGGTTATTCTTTGTTTTGCATCCGGTTCTACTCGGGATGCGAACTTTAACCAAAAGCGTCAAAGCCTTTGTTCCCCGATTCGCTACTTTAATATCACTTTCTAGACTAAGTGTTCAGTTTAACTGTCCAATATTTAAATTTCATTTAAAAGAGAAAACATCCTGCAAAACCTCTGTTAGCGTAAGTCAAATTATGAACTTTCCGCATCTACTTACACCAAGCTGCGAACTTTTCACAGACAGACGTTACACACAAAAGTGCGGTACTCGTAAATTAAAATACGTTGCACTATTTATTCGAGTGCGAATCACGCACTCAGATCGCACGATATATGAGAGGGCGGGCGGGCGGTCGAGCGCGGCGCACAAAGAGCTTTGGGTCTCGCTTGTAAACATACTTCTGTAAATACATAACTTCCGGGAATCAGCTTAATATCAGCGGCTAGGTCCGGGACGTCAGCCCGGGCGCCCGGCTGGGATGCAGGCGGTCGCCATGGCAACGGCTGGGTGCATCCGAGCTTTACCGACACGAGCGCGACGAAGCACTGACATTCGCCCCGATGTTTATCGGTTTACGTAAATTAGTGGGTACCGGTGCAGGAGGTAGATAAGTCAGAGTGCGCGGTTGTACACCCTAACTAGACTTTGAAATGCTGCAAAGTTATCTCTACAAGATGTTTATGTTGGTACGAGCTCTCAAAATATAAAGATGGGTTTTATAAGAAATTGCTTTATTAAAAAAATCAAGTGTCAACAGTGAACATTCGAAATTTGCAGATATTTTCACCACTACAAAAGGGCGACTAGATTTTTATAGAAGTTTCGCCTGATTACCTACTTACCCCACCCAATGTTACCTTTCGACATTGAGCTCTTAGAAAGAAACAAAATATAGCCACACAAAGCAAAGCGCAGGCATATATTGATTAAAGTGAAACTTTTATAACATCGCACAAAATTTTTGTTCATATTTAGCATGTTTCATTCCATTTTTTATTGTTACGTATTAAAAATATCCGACTTTATCAACAAGCATCGGTGGTGCAGTGGTAGAAAGCTCGCCTGCCTCGCGGGCGGCCCGGGTTCGATGCCCTGCCGAGGCTTTCCTTACTTTACACTTTTTATAAGCAACTTGGAATGATTTTCTGAAAATTACCCGAAAGCAGTTGAGACGATGTAAAACACTTTAAAAGTTTCGTTTGCGTCGTGGTTTAAAACCACACCAATTTTATTATTTGTCTATGGTTGTAAAAGTTTAACAAATACATGCAAAATAGAATTTCAAATTCACATTTAATAATTTAAATTAAAATGTTTGTCCATATAATATTCATATACTTCATGTGTTCGTACATTGTACATTTATCGTGTTCGCATAAATATTGTAACATGCAGACAGACAGTCATTAGTCGTAACGCAAATCTAATAGAATAGATAGGATGAAATTAATATGTGCGGAGTTTGCATCGGCTTCATTATTCCAGACTGAAATTAGACAATAGAGCTGAGGGCATCGGTGAAACATGAAATGTTGCGCCTGCTGTAGGTAATCCTTCGTATGCCAGACAGCCTTTTAGAGGTCGTGGCAAATCCAGTTACATATTCACTGGGTGCGAAGTACCTAGCCTACTATGTAGGGGTAAATAATACAATCTATCGCACCGCTCATAGAGGCTAAATGCAGAAATAATGTAGGCTCTGTCATCTACTACTTTGATATTAATGCAATCACATTTCACACTTGAGGAGGTTAGGAACAAAAAGTGTCATTTACGTATTTTGCTCTATTCGGTTTTTTTATTTAATCGGCTCAAAATGTTACTTTCTATCTGTCTAAGATTATGTTCAAAAAGTGAGTAGATTATTTTTAGTTATATAGTTTTGAATAGAAAAATCTATGTGAACTGCTAATTCCGCAACGAAAAGTATCATTTTTATTCAATCACAGTGTTTATTAAGACTAGAATTCGAAACGTGACATATTCTTAAGAAATACATTTGAAAAGTATTAAGTCGCTTCAAACTAGGAACCAGGTTGTAGAGAATTATATCACTACATTAGTATAAAGCAAATTCACTTACCGCTGTCTGTCCCTATGTATTGCTTAGATGAAGATCTTTAAAAGTACTCAACGGATTTTGATGCAGTTTTTTTAATAGATAGAGTGATTCAAGAGGAAGGTTTATATGTATAATACATGCATAATATAGTAGAGAAACACTGATAATTTTAATGTAAGGTCGTAAATAAACACATTTTTTGCGCTTACATTGCAAACGCTGGCTGAACTCTACCAGATAGATCAAAATAATGTACTA